TTAAATTAAAATTATTTAACTTTTTAACTTTTTAACTTAACTTTTATCTTTTTAACTAGGCACTACCCAACCCTGATGATATGCTAAAGAAGAGAAATTAAAAACTTTTCAAATATATTAATTAGAATAGGCAACAACTCTTCCTATTCTAATCCAAATGGTAATAGTTAATTCTCCTTTATAACATTATGCAAAGAACTAAAGCAGTAAAATAAAATAAAAACAAAAAATGCAATAGATAATATAATGAGGAACCTAGAAATTAAAAAGGGATTTTTGCACTGACAACAAGTAGCAAATTATGTGACAGAAAATAATCGAAGATGTGAGAAAATCTCCAGCAACAACATACTTGGCGCGCCCGTTTTTTTGTAATTTCTTACAACTACAACTACTTGCAACTATGCTTACGCAATTGTAGACCGCGCTTTATTAATAACATTATTACAACGTACAAGTAACGTAGCAATCGATTTCGTATAATGACACATTCCTACGTACGTTGCAAAAATCTCACAAATAAAACGTTTCTTTGGACCGTCGTAGAGGTAGAACATTTGCTGTCGCCGATATATATTAGTATAACGTTTCAACAACGTAATGGTCAAAATGTTTAGTGAGTATTAAATTTATATATAACAAGTAAATATCGAGTAATAACCTTATAATATATACCTTTCTCTTGTTTTACGATTTTCTCGACAATACTAACTGTGAGTGCATTCCTTGTCTCTTTAACTTTCATAAAAACGTCTTTCATAGCATAACATATCTCTACCAGCCTAAGTTACATAATATTGATGTCTATACTTTAATCGTTGAGAAAGATTATTATTAAAAAATCTATTGTCTTTAATTATGTTTATTTTGTAATCGAAATAATCACATTCGGTCAATAATATAGACGACTTTAGGATCCCTTTATGTTCCTATTTATTACTATATATTTTAGGTATTAATATTATTATTGTTATTATTAAAATGTAATAAAATGATTTCTATAATATGATGATTTAAATAAGTTATATTAATATATTTCTTTTAATATATGTGATTATTAAAAAATTTATAAATATAAGGACTTATATCGCTAATTTAATATATTTAAATTAATTTCAATTACAATTAATTAACAGTTATTTGATGATACTATAATGACACTATTAATAAGTTAAGTGCGTATGGCGTGCTGCAACACGTTAAAATTACGTTAAATGCAAAATATGAGAAATATTCAAAGTAATAAGTTGGATATATATGTATATATGTATATATATAATCTTTTTAATTTACAAAAAAACGGGCGCGCCAAGTATGTTGTTGCTGGAGATTTTCTCACATCTTCGATTATTTTCT